AAGGGCAGCAGGAGAGGGGCTGTGTCTGGATTGTGTTCAGAAGGGGAACAAAAACACAAACCTTCTGCCATCTCAGGCATCAAAACCTTATCCCAGACACTCCCAGGATGAGCTCTGGAGGCCAGACAGGTTTCTTTCCCATTTGCATCCCCTTTAGGAGCAGGGTTGGGTCAGCTCTGCCTTCCTGTCCCAGAGGGAAGAGCTGATGCCTCTCTCCTGCCAGTGCAGAGCACTCTGGGGGTCTGGGGGTCTGCTGACAATTCTAAGCAGGACCACACAGGTGGCTCTAATTTCTCTCCTACCTCTCTTTTGTCATGGGATTGTTTTGTGGGTGTGAACATGGATTTTCCCACCCCTGTTCTTCCCTCCTGCAGCCTGCCCCAAACAGTGGGAAAAACACGGGAGAAAATGCTACTTCTTTCCTCCATTTAAACAACAGGACTGGAATTCCTCCCGTGAGGAATGTGCTGCCATGGGGTCAGACCTGGTGGTCATTGACAACGAGGATGAACTGGTGAGATCTAAATCCCTGGAGCTGTTCCAGGGCAAAGGCCTGAGGAGTTCCACTGGTGTCTGCTCCTGTGGGATGTCTTTGGGGTCTCCAATGTGCTGCCAGCCACAGACACCCCCAGCTGGGGATGGGAGCAAACCCCTTCAGAGGAAGATGCATCCTGGGGGTTGGAGTTTTGCCCCTGGAAGCTTCTGTCCCCAGGCTGGCTCCCCTGGGAAGGAGCAAACTCTCTGCCCAGCTGACTTGGGGTTTACAGAGAGTTACCACAAGCCAAGAGGCTCAAACAGACACTTCTTTGGGAGAGCCATTGCTTGGACACAAATGAAAAGGCTTTCCCACCATAATCAGAATAGAAAAGTGTCTCCAGGTATCAAGTCACACCTGTCTAAATACAATGTAGAGCTTTAAAGGTGTCAGAGCTTTATTACTTTATTTATTGTATTCATAAGAATCCTTGAGGAAGAGACATGATTTAAATAAAAATGAAAAACTTCAGCCTCTGGAAGTGTGGAAAGAGTTGGTGTGGCTGGATGCCCTCTGTGCCCTCAGTGTTGGGTATTTAGCACCGCACATCTGTACATTCTGTACACCATCCTCTACAGGTGGTGTAGAAAATGTAATTTGAATGTATTTTCTTCCTTTCCAGCATTACCTCACTGAGCGATCAAAACACAATTACTACTTACTTGGTCTCACATACTCTGAGAGGGAGCAGAAGTGGAAGTGGATTAACAGCGTGGAACATGACCCAGCCCTGTAAGTCCCTGTCAGGCAACATCTGGAAAGAGGGAAAAACTCCAAAGCCAGAACAGAGAGTGGAGAGCACAAGTGAGATGAGGGCCTGGGATTGGCAGGAACCTGATTCCTTGAGATACAGGTGCTTCAGCACGTCCCTGTGACAAGGGGAAGGCCCATGGGAACACAGGCAGTCCCATCAGGATGGCAAGGGAGGAAACAGCTGGAGTTCTGGTGGGGAAGGAAGGAAGGAAAGATCTGACTGATGGAGTTGTGTGGGGAAAAGGAGGATAGAGGAGGCAAGGACAAGAGGGAGTGTGATGTCAGCACCGTTGGATGGAGGAGACCAAAGCAGGGAAAGGTCTCTGCATGGGAAAGCTTTGCCCAAATACTTCTGTTGAGAGCTGGGGAAGAAAAGTAAGGAATGGGAGAGAGAGTCCAAGAAGGCAGTTTCTGCTCCTACTGACAAGAACAGAGCTTGGCAGCAGGACCAGGGGCCACTGTGCCTTTCACTGCATCACATCCAGCTGTGTCAGGAATGCAGCTACAGCTGGCTTTTTCTTCCTATTCAGGTTTAATATAATTGGACATTTTCGTGCCTATCACTGCACAGTCATTGGATTTGGTAAAGTACAAATTGCACCTTGTGGTGGATCTCCAACAACTGAAAATATGTGTGAAAGAGCTGCAACGATGTCAGAAAGGTAGAAGGGCAGCTCAAAAGAAGAGTTCCAGGCAGGACTGTTATCTCCAGTTTCCTGTAGGAAACGCAGAAAGGATTTGTCTCATTTATCTTCAGCTGCCCAAATCTCCAATCAAAGGGACTCCTCCAGCCCCTCCAGCCCCCTTGCCAAGCTCAGCCCCTCCTTTCCCAAGATGGGAGTGTGAGACTGGCTGGATGCCCCTCCAGAAGACCCTGCCTTTGCCCACAGGGGCAGTCTGGGACTTGCTCCTCCCAGAGCTCTGACTTTCAGGCAGCCCTGTCAGGGCAGATGAGTCCAGCCTGGGGGACAGGGGTGATCCCCAGCAGATCCTGCCTCTCACACACACACATCCATCTCTGCCCACGTGTTCCCAGCCCTGCCTGTGCACAGGGAGACCCCTCCCAGCCCTGCCATGCCCTGCTCTGCCCTGCAGCCACCCGTGCAGCTGAGCACAGACTCCTGCTTGGGCTCCTGTCCTGTCCCACAGATGGGACTGATGGCACAAAGTCCCCTGGGTGGGTGTAGAAACCTCCCTCTGGACAAGACTGGCTGTTAAAAACCCACACGGGGGTACCAGGCCCTGTGGGGCTGAAATGGGAATCACCACAAGAGGACTGATCCCCACCAGCACAGCCCTGGCCATGAAATCCCCCTGGGGCTGTGGAGCTCAGGGCAGGGGGATCAGGTTCAGGACGTGCTGGGGAAGGGCAGAGGATGCAGAGCAGCAGAGACAGCAATGCCTGGAGAACAGAGCCACAGCAGGAGCTCATCTGGACACAAAGCAGGACAATCAAAGCCAGAGTTACCTGGGAAGGAGATGGCGAGAAGTGTGAGAGTCACCTACAGGGACTGACAACACAGTGCACTGCCTTCTTTTTCCTGGAGAACGACTGAAGTACAAAATCAGCCCTGGAGGTTTTTCCTTCTCAGGCAAGGTAGAGCCAAGAGCAGGAACAAGTGGTACCAGGAAAACAGAGATGTGCTCAGCAAACAGGGAACGTTCCCAAAGCTCTTCCAGTGTGCTTCAGTGGCTCTTGGGACCCTGGACCTTTTGGGCCATTTTTTTTTTTTTTTTACCACGTCCTTTGAGGCAGAATCATTCTTACGTGAAATGGTGATGTTCCTGGCTCTCTCCCTCACCTGTAGGATGGAGAAAGCTCCTTCCCTGGGAGCCACAGGTCTTATCTTGGAGACTTCAGCAAGCAGCAGAAGCAAGAAACTCTCCATCAGTTGTCACAGAAAGGGGGAAGCTTGTCCTTGGGCCACTCTGGAACAACATAAAATCCATCAAGCCCAGAAAGACACAGAAAGTCACAGGACTCAGGACCAGATACTGCTTGCAAGGAATTCCTCAACAAGAGCAAAACTTTAATTGAAAGTTATTTATTTCTGCTTCCTCTGTGTTTTTCTCATTCACAAAGTAATCTCCTCTGACTTTGTTGTTTTATTTTTTACACAAATGTTTACAGCTTGAACTAGACAAGGCCGGAGTACGAAATAAAAATCCAACTTTTTTTTTTTTCTTTTGGAAACATTTTTTTGCTCTCAGTACTGTTGGATAAGGAGGGAGAGCAAAGGAGAAACATAATCAGAATAATCTTGTGAGTCAGAAATAACCCTGTCCCCAGCACATGACCAGAGCAGTTGAGAAACATTTCACAGAAGTCAGTTCCTCAGAAAGAAATAACTCTGTTTCTGGGTATTTCAGAGGAGGCTGTGGACACTGAGCAGCACCTCTGTGTGTTTGCGGGAAAGGGGTGGCAAAGTTCCGAGTCTGAGGAGGATTTAACATCCTTTAGACAGCGTAGAGCGTGGCTATAGAAACAAGATCATTCATTTTCAGTGACATCCTCTAAAACAGCCTGGACACCAGACAGGGAGGATGAAGATTCTGACTTTCATTTTTTTCTCACTTTCTCGTTTCAAATGGAAAGTCTGAGAGCAGCAATTTCAGCTCTGCTGAGATTCAGCTAGAGGCTGTGAATGGTTTACCTTGAGCAGTCCCACTCTGTTAGGTTACAAAAGTGCACTCCTGTTCCACGTTGGACAGGAGTTTGGGACAGGAGATAACACCAGACCTGAAAACCAGCCACAGGTACAGCACCTATAAACAAACATTCCTGCAGATTAATAAGAGCATGGATAGCATCACTATTTAATGTCTTATCTCCCTCTGAGGTTAAATCCCCTTGAGGTATATACCAGTTTTCCCCATATTCCCACATTACCCTCAAGGTGCCCCCACGTCCTCGAGGAATGGGATTGTTTTGGAATTGCCTAGCTCAGCTCCTTTTGGGGTGCCATGCTGTAAAGAACTTGCTTTTGAAGGCCCTTTTGAAGAGGAATGGGTTGCAGGGTACGTTGCCAACCACCTGAAAGTCATCTCCACAATGGCAAGCACGTGTTTTACCAGGTTCGTGGCAGCAATTCCAGTTGAGAACACGATTGTTGGTCCAGCCAGGCTGCTCCAGCAGCCAGCTACTACTGGGGAAGGAAAAGACAATCCACAGCCACTGCTTTCCTGCAGCAGGGGTTCCTGTGCAGGACCTCACCTCCTCTCAGGGCTAAGATCACAGCTGTGTGTGAATCACTGCCTTCCAGCTCCTGGGGACCAATATTCCCAGGCAAATGGACCAGCCAAAAGTCCTTCTCTTTGCTTCAAAAGACACTTTCTAGCCTAGCATGTATATTCCAAGAATTTCTTGGTTCTCATCCTGCCACAGAAAGAACCAGGCAGTTTCCTTTCCCACCCTCTGCCCTCACCCAGCCTAAGAGGGAGAGAGGAAGCCCGGACTGTGAAGCTACATTGAGCAAGATGAAAACTCTCCCCAGCCAAAATTAGCACCCCTCTGCAACAAATACTTCCCTCTTCAATTGCATTTCCCCCTCCTTTCTGGTGGTATCTCTTTGGCAGCAGACCTTCTTATCAGCTAAATGTGCTGAGCACTCACTCTGTACAAAGTTCAGTAGAGGAGAACTAAGGTCATGAGGTAAATGGGAGGTACCTTGGCCACAGCTTTCTTAAATTCTTCCCCACTGGGCTGAAGACATTTTACCCCATGTCCTGGATGTGTTTTCTAAAACCAACTGCATCGTATTTATTTGTGCCTAGTCGGGATTATTATTCTAAAAAATTCGCTACCAAAAAATCACTAAAATTTAGAGAAGCTCAGGACTTAAGAAAAAAAAATAAAATCATATGGAGTAGAAACATAGATCAAATAAAGGTATACTTATCCAAAGAATTTCTGTGCAGACAGATCATAAATTCCTTCTCCAGAAGGCCTCAGCAGAGGACAGCTTAAGAAAATTACCCTTGAGATTTAGCTTTTACTGTTTCTCAGCTACTTTGGAGGTTCTGCTTCTGTTTTCTTTGATAACAGAGTTTCTTCTCATGTTTTTTCCTCTTCCACCATAAATTTTCAGTTCCTTCTTCGTCTTTCTCCTAGAGCTTTCACTGAAATGGGATCTCTTTGCAGTTCATGGGCTCAGTTTTGTGGTGTCTTTTCCTCAAAGTTCCACGCCATGAGACCTTGAAGAACTCAGAAGGGGCTGTTCTTTTTTCCAAGCTGGCTCTGAGCCGTGGCAACCAAACTTCCAGAAGGCTGGAGGAGCTCAGGGCTCTCACACACTGATGTTAAGCACAGTAACTAGGGGAGTTCAGAGCACTCATATGAATCAGGAAAAAAAGGCACAAAACTCACAAACATAAGCACAAGTGAGACAGGGAGCTGGGCTAGAAATTAAGGGTCATATTGGATATCTGTTCCTTGCCTGAATACGTAAAACTATAGGCAAATTATGACAGGAAACATTAAATAAGTCTGCCTGGTTTTTGTTATTTATTACAAATAAGGGAGGCCTTTTTGCAAAAATTAAAGCAGGACACTGAAACAATCAAAATCATTCCTTTCAATTAAAATAGAGTAGGGGTTTTATTTATTTGGAGTACACATTGTTTGCTCAATATGCTCAGTTTACAAAACTGTAAAAGAAGGTGGCTCCTGGTTTTAGTCAGCCACCTGTGACCATACTTGCACGTGGGGGTTGCTGCTTCTTGGCCCTGTTAAACAGCAACACAAAGCTAAAGGCAACATCCTCAGCAAAATTCCAGGTGGGTCTTACTGGAGTTCAAGGGCTCACATTACTGCTACTTTCAGTAGCAATACAGAAATTCAACTGTGAATAGAATAGGCAAGTAGAACAAACAAAAAATAACATTATCACCACAAATTTTATCCAAGTATTTTGTTATAAGCCTTTATTTAAAAAACTTGTAGTGGATACAGTAGAGCGAATATTGCCATTGTTTATATCCTATATAATTCCTCCTTAAATTCACTGTGCTTAAGCAGAACTTGGCTTTACTGTTCTAAATTATTTTGGTCATTCTTGATTAAAGCTAGGGCACTGAGTTAATCAAAGTCATATTTCTTTGTTTGTTTGTTGAGCTGTAAAACATGTTTTGTGTAAAAATATCCTTACAAAAATATTCTGCATTTTTTCAAAATCTTTCAGCCTGGCAGGTGATGCAGTTTCACAATCAAGTGGAAAACATGGAAGCTCCCAGACCTTGGTATGGTTTAATAAAAGAGCTTTTAAAATATTTGCATCTCTTGTATATGAAACTCAAGTCATCAAGGACAGAATAGCTACAAAACTGACTAAAGAGCCATTACTAAAATGAGTTGCCTATAAAATGAACAAGCCAAAAAAGCACGGTCAGAGTTGAAAAGTAAATATTGCAGTGGAAGTACAAAGTCCTGGTACCTGATCCATCACCTCTCCACAGAAGTGCCTCATATCCCTGATACCTCAGGTGGTTCTCCAGTTAAGATGTATCTGGACAGACATCTCAGTATTATTTAGGGCAGCAGGAGTGGCAGCCATTTCAGTAGGAATTATTCTACCCCAAAGGACACAGTAAGAAGGATAATCCTTGGTGTCCCAAAAGGTCCAGGGTCCCAAGAGCCACTGAAGCACACTGGAAGAGCTTTGGGAACG